TGCGATTTATTTATTTTGAGTTTAGCTAGGCTTAGTATCACATCAACCTCAGTTATACATATATTGGTCATGTATAGACCGATTCGAATCGGTCAAGTGGAGACCGATTCGAGGCTGTACCATCTGCGGCAAGGAGGCTCGTCCGTAAGCCGTTACACAGCGGATTTCCGTACCCTCGCAGTGCAAACCACCTGGGGTGATTCCGCTCTCCGAACAGCCTATTATGAGGGGTTGGCTCCCCGTATCCAGGATGAGCTTGCCGGACGGGAGCTCCCCACCACTTTGGAGGGTCTTATTCAACTGGCCCTCCGTATCGACCAACGGATGAGCTCGCGTCCGAGGCCAACTCCCCGTACCCTGCTGCCCACCTCGTTTCATCTGCCAGCATACTCTCCAACATCGGCTGGTGCTGTCTCTCCACCTCGACCTGTGGACCACTCGGGAGCAGGGGAACCCATGCAGTTAGGGCGCGCCTCCCTGACCACTGTGGAGAGGGATAGGCGTTATAGGGAAGGCCTTTGTGCCTACCGTGCCTCTCCCAAGCACCACCGCGCCATCTGCCATCTCCGTCCGGGAAATGGTCAGACCCAGTGAGTCCTGAGAAGAGCTCACCGGGTCCCTTATCCCTTTTCTCCACTAATGCGGCCGTTTCCCGCCTCACGGTTCAGGTACACCTCCAGTTTGGCCACAAATGGGTCAAGACCTCGGCTTTCATTGATTCAGGGGCCGCAGGGAACTTTATTGACCAAACCTATGCCAAACAACTGGGGGTGGAGCTGGAGGCGTTACCCCAGCCGGTTCCGATCACTGTGGTGGACGGTCGGCCCCTTACCACCAGTCCCATCACCCACCAGACTCAATTCATCTCCCTCAGCGTCGGCCACCACCACGAACGCATCCAGTTCCTGGTCACATCCATCCTCTCAGCCCCCATCATCCTAGGGCACCCATGGCTTCTTCAGCACGATCCCCTCATCACCTGGACCCAACAACGGATTCTTCAGTGGGGGTCGACCTGCTCTGAACTATGCCTACAGGCAACGGCTGGGGCGTGCTCCAGGGAGCCCGAGGCCCCCGATGTCGACCCAGAGGCCATCCCCCAGCCATACCATGACCTGGCGGAGGTCTTTTGCAGGAAACGGGCCGTGAAACTACCTCCTCACCGGCCCTATGACCTAGCCATTGACCTCCTGCCGGGCGCGTGCCTCCCCACGGCAGACTTTTCTCTCTTTCCCCCACAGAGACCAAGGCGATGGAGGAGTATGTTGCCGACGCTCTCCATCAGGGTACCATCAAGCCCTCTTCCTCGCCCGCTGCCGCGGGATTCTTCTTTGTGAAGAAGAAGGATGGTGGTCTCCGACCCTGCGTCGACTATCGGGGGCTCAACAACATCACCGTTAAGAACCGTCACCCACTTCCACTGACCAACACCGCCCTGGATGCCCTATCCGGTGCCACCCACTTCACCAAGTTGGACCTCCGGAGCGCCTACAACTTGGTGCGCATCAGGGAGGGCGATGAGTGGAAGACGGCTTTTATCACTCCCACTGGTCACTATGAGAGTCTGGTGATGCCCTTTGGTCTGTGCAATGCTCCCGCTGCCTTTCAACAATTCATTAACGATGTGCTGCGGGACACGCTAGACCGTTGGGCATTCATCTACCTTGACGACATCCTCATCTACTCTCACACCCTGGAAGAGCACATCCAACATGTCAGGGCGGTCCTCAGGAGATTGCTCGCCCATCAACTGTACTGTAAGTTGGAGAAATGCGCTTTCCACCAGCGCTCCACCACGTTCCTGGGCTTTGTCATCTCACCCCAGGGTGTGGCCATGGACCCCCAGAAGCTGGAAGCTGTGCGTCATTGGCCCCTACCCAGGACGCTTAAGCAGCTACAGCGTTTTCTGGGGTTTGCCAATTTCTATTGGCGCTCTATTCGGGGCTTCAGTACAGTTGCAGCACCTCTCACCGCCCTGACCTATCCTT